CAATGGTGAGATATTTGTACAAGAGTAGGAATCTACCTTAGAAACCAATCTAGCCTGATTCCTATACTAATGACTCTTATGAGCCAGTTCTTTTTTATTGAATCAAAGACATTCAGCATGACCAATATTGCCTGATTCCTAAACAATAGACTTGGTTCTTTTTAGTGAATCAGAAAACATCCAGTAATCATGAACAGATGACTTTTATGAACCAGTTCTTTTTAATGTTTGTTTATTTTAATGTTATCTCTCTGTAAGAAACATTGAGTTATGGCATCCACCAGGAAGGTAAAACTGTGTCATGCTAATCAGCTAAACCTTGATTAATTTTGCAAATCATGAACAAATTACTGTTTTGGGACAGTTCTTTTAACGAATCATTCAAAGTGACTGACTCAGACGTTATAGATATGAATCAGTCTTAACAAATTATTCCATCAGAGTGGGCATACGTTTTACCTGCTGCAAATTAAATAAAATAAATAAATAATGTAGAAATATTGACGGGTAGCAGAATTTAGAACCAGGCTTTGAAATGTATTTCAGATTATGTAGAAGAAACAGCAAACTCTGGTCAGTAGACATGTGTTAAAATGCTAGTGTTGTTGAAATCCAGTTTGGTGATTCAGAGAGTTAGAGAGAGAAAATGCTGACTCTTGACTTGACTGAGTACAGAACAGAAGAGTTCTGAATGAGAAAATGATTCATGAAAAAAAGCGAGGGCCAAATAGGGATGTCCCTGAGTAAAGGTTGCAGTCCTTTTTGTCTGGTTTCCTCTATTCCAGCAGGATTAGAGGAATGCCAGAGAGAGAGAAAGAGAGGAAAGGATGGATGAAAGCTTCAACTGTGATGGTTTTAAGGTTCTTGAAAGTAGGAGATGGAGGAGGTTTAGAGTCCAAGGTTGCTTGTTGAACAGAATGTGCTTGTATTGTTGTTTGTGTTGATTCTGAGAGTAATTATACAAGACATGATGTTAAATGTGAGGAAGAGAACAAATTACCACCAGGATGCTGCTGAGGTCTAAAGATAATTTCTTAAGTCTTTCTGCCTATACTGTATGTCAAAAAAAAAATTGATTTCCTGAAAAGTGTGACAACTATGACTCTTGTGATATAATTGCTATTTGTTTGAGCATCCTGAATAGCCCAACATGACAACATGGGCTCAACTAATAGTGTGGGTTTGAGGGCAGAACTAACCGGGTTTTTTTTTTAAATCAATGACAGACAGGAGTGTACAGGAAGCCTATTTGACACCAAGGAATAGTTCACACAAAATTTGAAATTTGCTGAAAATGTACTCAGTCTCAGGCCATCCAAGATGTAGAGTTCGTTTCTTCATCGGATCAAATTAGAAATTTAGCATTACATAACTTGCTCACCAATGGATCCTCTGCAGTGTATGGGTGCCGTCAGAATGAGGGTCCAAACACCTGATGAAAACATCTCGATAATCCTATTCCTTTAAAAAATAAAATAAAATATTAATTGCATTCTTCATCTTTGATATCTGAACAGGGTCCGAACATTCATTCACAGATTTGCGCTATGCCACGGCCTGCAGCATCTTCACACACAGACAAAACTTAGTTATGTCCACTTCACAGGGTACTTACGGTCGAATAGAACAAATGGCTGAAGTGATAAGAGGAACACACAAAATGTGTGTGTGGGGGGGGGGGGGGGGGAGAATTCCAGTCCACGAGGGCTGGAATTGAGAGCCACTGGGTTAGAGAGAGGTCAAAATGATCTTGCAAAATTCAGTTATGACTATTTTGTTGCAAGAATCGTTTATTATAATTATATTACACTGGAAAAAATAGAGCATGGTCCCTTTAAAACAATTACATTACTAATAATTTTCATTTAATGTTAATCTTTTAAAGTTTAGTTTGACTAGTTTTTTTTCTGGAATGTTTTTGATAAGTTTTAAAGAGACTTGTTTATCCTAAATAATTGTTTTGTTCTCCATAATCTGAGTCTGAAGTGTGCAGGTGTGCCAGAGGTATTTTCTCCCTAGAGATGGCTTTGATTTACATTTGAGTAAAGCCAGATTAAAGTTCTGACACATTGGTTGAAATGTAAGATGACTGGCTTTGGTTCATGCGGTTCTTCTCTTTGCTGCACTTGATTTGTTGAGCCCCACAACAGAAACATATGCCTGAGTTAAATCACAGTGGTGTGGTCCTGTCAAACCCTACACAAAGCCATGTCGTTACTGTATATGAAAACAAGCTCTGGAAATATGTGCCGGCCAATTATAAAGCTGAACCGGAAGAAAAAGTCATCTCTGTATTGGCACGTAAACGCAAGTTTTCAGCTGAAATACTAATATTAAAAGAATATTAATAAAAAGGGTGAATATGGTGCTCCTGTATGGAGTATTGTATTTCTGCAATTATTTGCAATGAAACCTGTTAGCAGTTTAATCTCTTCCTGTCTTAGCATTTGGGGATTTGGAGAATTAAACTAGTTGAAGAGCCAAATGTGAGACAAAATGCCAGTTGGCCAGTAACTTTTTTTAGGAGCTCCACGTAACATGGGTTAAACATGATAACCTGACCATCACTGAAGATCGAAGATGACTGTGCATCTAAATGCATGTCTAAAAATTCCTAGCTACATTTCTAGAAAATATTCTAGTTACTTTTAGTGTAACTTTTCAATGTCAAATTTTGCCTATTTTGTCTAAGATGCCTAAAATATTATTTAAACAGAGCTCCATGTGGATGCACATCCTGTATATGTAATATCAGAAACTGTTTGGTAAAGATGGTTCACTCATACATATATAAATAAATGAATATTAAACATATATATATACAGTATATACACATATACATACATACATACATTTAATATATAATTATATTAAATGTATATTTATTTTATAACAATATATTATTACATGCTATATTATTCATAATAATATTCTAAATAAATCATATTAAAATGTATTCATGTAGTAATGTATTAATATAGTTTTCAAATGGTATTTATCTATTAATTAATTTATTATTATATAACTAAATTAATTCAGTTTGCACTTTCATGGCTGGTATATTTTCTCTTTCCATGATATATTATTCATTTTATTAAATTAATGCAAAGTACCCACCATTGGTAGATTTTCAGACCCTCTTTACATACATTGTTGATGACATTACTTGGGTATTATATTTGATAGTTAATACACGATTGTTCCTTGTCACGTGTGTATAATAATGTAAAAGCTTGCATTCAGGGTGCGGATTACGTGACCCCCCCCAAAGAAAGCTTTAACCGCCCTAATGGACGTCAAAACTAGATGTAGGGGGGGTCAGATAGAAAGTAGGCTAGCCTACGCATAATATGGACATTTACTTGTAAATATTAATATGTATTTTTAAAGCTCTGACTGATTTTAAAAATGTAATTTTGGCAGCCCCTGAAATGGGTCGTACTGACACTTTTTGTTAGAAAATGTTTATTTACTATTTATTCAGGTTTTTTAAGGAATCGAATATTTTGATACTTAATTTGCATGATCTATATATTCTTAAAAATTAAAAGTTTGTTGTCATTTGGAAGTTTGTAGGCCTTCTTGCATTATTATGCTGTTACATTATGATTATATATTCAGTGACATAAAATGGTCTTTAAAATGACAATAATATTGCTTATCGCAATTATTTCTGGGGCAATATATCGCACAACAAAAAGTTGTTGTCGTGACAGGCCTACATTTTAGACACATTGTCAGTAATTTCGCCAACAAAAATAAGGAGAACTGTTGTGCATCTCTGATCAACACACAGAATCCACGTTTTCATCAATGATTCAGTCAGCCATTCATAAAGGTAGTCACTTGCATCGTTTCTGAATGAATCAGTCATTTGAACGAATCGATTGAATGAATGACTGAATCATTCACTTATTAAGACAGGGATTTGTCACCATCTACAGGCGCTTTTAGTTTTATATTTAGAGTATTGTTTCTTTTTAAAAATAATTGTATATTTCACTAGCCAATTTATTTGTATTTTTGTATGTTGAATTAAAATATTTTTTTCTAAAGCTACTTTATTTGTAATGTCTTTGCAGTTTTTTTTAATTAACAAAATTATCTTTAATAACAACTTTATCTTTAATTAATCGGCACATGATGTGCATGTTAATTAATTAATCTTATTAATTTGAGATTATTTTTTAATTAATTAATTGGCACATTGTGTAATGAATTAGATCGTTTTTTTTAAACAATCACTTGACAGCCCTATTTAGAACATAAGAAATACACCAAATCTTCTGACCCCCCCCGATGGTCAATGTGTAATTCGCACCCTGCTTGCACACACACACACACACACACACACACACACACACACACACACACACACACACACACACACACACACACACACACACACAAACAAACAAACAAACAAACAAACAAACAGTCTGACATTAACAATCACACACTCAGCAGTAGGCATGATTAAATTGGACTGTGAGACTGCCAAAATTGAGGTCGGAATGTTAATGAGAGTTCTCTATGGGGGACACATTGAGAAAGAGAAATGGAGAGAGATTGCAGCATGTTGCGAGCTTCGGCCTGTGGTTTCCATATACAGCTCCTTAGAGCCATCGATAAAGAGATAATCAAGGATACTGAGAGAGAGAGAGAGAGAGAGAGAGAGATGCATGCTCATTATTTAATATAGGTGCTGAGTCAGAGGCTGAGTCTGTCTTTAGCTACTGCACTCTGCACACAGACATTATTCTGCTCAACTCTGCCACACACTGTAAGACTGAAGTACTGCAGATTGAACAGTAAATACTATGAAAGAAGTAGAGTTCTTTACCTGGGCACCAAAGTGTTTGAGTTACGGAGAATATGTCCCTTTAATATATAAAGTAGTCCAAAAGGCTCCATCTAAACCATCTAATTAACTCAAATTAATTAGAAAGTAAAGCACATTAAGATCAACTAAAATCTCTTTTCCCTGTTTTCTCCTGCAGAAAAGCTCTACAATTCGACCGGACGGGAGCTGCGAAGAGCACTGTTCTCTCTCAAGCAAATCTTTCAGGTAAGCTTTCCCACTTCGACTTAGTATTAGCGCAGAGCACCTGCTAATGTCTTTTTGGTCAGCAGTACGTGTGTGTGAGTGTGTGTGTCTGTGTTTTCATGCATGTTTTAGCTGTAAGGCTATGCTGGAATTTCTCTCACTGCACAGAAATGGCCAGATACCAAAGCTGGAGTCTCCATCATTGATTGATTTTAAAGCTGTGCTGGAAGCTACTGTTTTTCCTCTAGAGGAACCATGTCTGACCACCGCATTGTGTGTGTGTGTGTGTGAGATTAAATGACTTTCCACTAAAGTTTAAGCATTTTTAATGGAAAAAGCACCTGAAACTTTCACACCTGTCAACAAGTGTGTAATTTAAACCTGCCAGAGGCTATGCATAAACACACAAATACTCTGGAGCAGAAACAAACACAAACATAAAGGCTAGCTTTGTCAAAGCACATGCACGACTAGCTTGTCAGACTAAGTACAATCGACTCATAATGCAAAGTATTTAAATGACAGTGACGCTTTTTTTACACTAAAAACTAATTAGCTACAATACAAAATGCTAACAAAAAATTACATTAAATAACTTATCATTTAATATGTGCTTTATTATCTGGCACAAAATTGATGATTTTGAATGAATTAATTGTGTTATAACATTAAATCTAAACAGAATTTGCTAATAAATGCAACGAAACAACTATTACATGCACACTGTTTCATGGAGAGAAATTATAGGAGCCTGTTTTTTCTTCATCAAAGTAAAAAATAATAATAATAGTAATAAAGGCAATTGTGAGATAAAGCTAGATATAAGAAATAAAGTCACTTTCTGCGCATTGAAAAACATGGCATTATCTACATTTTTGCAAAACTCCAAAACATTTAAATGCATACAATTCTCTGCAGTTCCCAGCTGAAATGAACACTAGTGGAAGTAAAACACACACAATTATTTTAATTCCTTTTCACACAAATTGTAATTACTGAGACAGATTACGATTAATAAAGACTTATATTCCCACAGTTCCTTCCACAATGCTATGCTATGACCTGAAAACACCTTTGTTACCATAGTGGATTATTTGTCAATTGAAAATTTTGGCGTTTACATCACATAATCAGATCTACTTATGTCTTTTCCAATGTAGTAAACTTGCTTGGTAGCTCACCCGGTACAGCATTGCAATTGAGATGCAGAGAGCTTGGGTACGAATGCCATGTAACACAAGTCGCAATAAAGCCTCAAAAGAGCTCAAAGACTTGCAGAAGCATGCTAAAATATCATGGTTGTTTCAGCAAATGCTTTTTCATCTCATTGGTTAGGTTTAGGGTAGGGTTTATGTGGTGTGTTATTTTCAAATGTATTGGAGCATTAACCTTTTAGCGCCACTCAGCGGACATTTAATTTGCAAATTACAGCGAGGTGTACAACAACCAGATAAACCTGAACATGCTTTTTACACCACTCACTGGACATTTCACTTTGAAAATGATGCAATATGATTTTGCAGAAATGACGCCACATGCACATTTTTCCAATGAGCTTGGGTTTATTGTGACACACTGTAAAGATATAAAGTCGCAATCTTTAGATTATGAGTGATATAAAGTCACAATTACGAGAAATAAAGTCACACATACGTGAAACAAAGAAAAAAAAATGTGACGAAGTAAAATATAAAGTCACAGTTGTGAGATAAAAAGCTGCAATAGCGAAATTTAACGTCATAGTTATGAGACATGGAGTTGCATTTGTGAGATATTACAGTCAAACTGTGAGATAATAAATCACAATTACAAAAAGGCACGATTACAATAAACAAAGTCAAAAATTGTGAGACATATAGTAATGTCAGTTTGTAAGATATATGCATAGTTGCAATTTTGAGAACTAAAATCACGATTCTGATTCAAAAAGCCACATATTTTACAAATATATTTAAATAGCAATATGGTGCAGCTATTGTTGGAAAAAATAGTTTGCTACTGTAAAAGCTACAATGAAAACAGCTGCTGAATATTGTAGTTAAGTTAGTAGCAGTGCTACTTTTAGTTAGTTTCTCCCACAACACTGACACACACACACACACACACACACAGCCAGACCATGGACAGAATTCCAGTTCAGCAGTTCCAGTTATTGAAACCGATCTCATAATCCTCCTAATCTCCTTGCATTTTAATCTAAGATGTATGAATCACTTGCGAACACTATGAGCAGTCGTCTGATTGATCGCTCGACTCAGGAAGAATTACAGCAAGAATTGCATTCTTCATGCTGTGGTGCATTTAAGTATATTTTGCATGTGCAGTAAAGTGCATTTCTCCAGACGTGGGCATACTGTGTCATTATAGACTGACTGTGCCAATATAAATTCCACAAATCCAACACCCCTAATCATTTTCAGATCAGCCAATAGGGTGTGTCCATGCGAATCCCAAAGCAGAAGAAATAAGATGGAGCCCGGTTCACTTTCACACATGACACACAGGATGGAGGAAGGATGCATGCTGTAATCGGAGAATTAGTGAAGTGTGCCCAGCCGTGGGCCTGTGTGTGTGTGTGAGTGCCATAAATCAAGCAGAGACACGTACTGCTCCTCACATCTCTTCTACAGCGTGTTTAATGGGCTCTTTACTGCTGGGAAGCAGTCGATCAGCACTTAGCAACCCAAATTAACTCAAGCCCAAACATAAAGGGTTTCCATGGGCAGGAATTGAAAAGGATTTAAAACTGTATTGGGAGATCTGGAGGAACTCTACAGGGACGAGTCCAAGACAGCTCTATAAAACAACACTCTGCAGAAGTGCATTTAAATATCTCTGCAGCTTAGCTTTAAAATAAATCATATAGTAGGTTTTATAAAATACAGTAATTATATGGAATATACTATAAATATAAAATAATTATATTCAATTGCTATATTTTATTAGAATTTTAGAATTGTATTACATTTAATAGACTAATTTTAAAATGTAAATAAAATGTAATAGATTTAAACTTTTAAATAAATTATTTTCTTTTCTTTTTTATTTGACCTTTCAATCGTTCATAAAATCATTTTGGGATACTTTCAGGTTATTTTAAGAAGTTCCCAGCACCTGGTGGACAGAGAGATTGCAGAACAATGCAACATGTGTTGGTGTAGGAGTGGGAACCTTTAGGGAGCGTAGAGAAAATGCTGACAGAGTGTTTGACAGATAGGAATTCATAAGCTTCAGTTTGAAATCAAGCCTGTTTCTTAAAACACAACTGGACCTTTTTGCAATTCTCTTTGGTTGCCCTGAAAGTGTTTTGCAATTAAACAAAACATCTGTGGTTGCATTGTGGAGGGTGATTTTCTTCATGATTAATTTCTGTAAGATGTTTAATTAATTTTGAGATGCATCAATTATTTTATTTTTTTCACAACCCGTGTTGCCTGTGTAGATTCTGTGTTTGTTCTGGATATTTCATACGTACGTTAAGTGTCTGTTGCTTGTGTTCCTCTTGCAGGATGATAAAGATCTGGTGCATGAGTTTGTGATGGCTGAAGGACTCACATGTCTTATTAAAGTGGGAGCTGAGGCTGACCAAAACTACCAGAACTACATCCTTAGAGGTACCACACTACCAAACATGACATATGTAGAATGTACAGTATGTGATTCAAATGTGCAAACAACTACCAAACATATAAAACAAGTACTTTGGATGTTCAAAGTTTTGGGAACAGTAAGTCTTTTTTTTAAATAAATGAATACTTTTATTCAGCAAGAATGTGTTACACTGATAAACAGTGACAATAAAAACACAAAAGATTTCTATTTCAAATAAATGCTTTCTGGTCATCAAAAAATCCCGGGGGAAAAACATATCACCAGTCCCACAAAAATATTAAGCAGCACAAGTGTTTTCAACATCAAAAATAGTAAAGGCATGTTTCTGGAGTGGCAAATCAGCATATTAGAATGATTTCTGAAAGATCACGTGACACTGATGACTGGAGTAATGACTGATGAAAATTCAGCTTTGCATCACATGAATAAATTACATTCTAAATATATATTCAAATAGAAAACAGTTATTTTAAATTGTAATAATATTTTACAATATTGCTGTTTTAATCAAATAAATGCAGCCTTAATGAACATAAGAGACTTTCAAAGACATTAACAATTATACATTTATACTGTTAAATGACTGCTGAATCAGAATTTTGAATTGATTTACTGAAATGGACAGTTTCAACTAATTCATGGAAATGAATCAAACTAACCAACACTTTGAATTATATGTATTGATTTATTCATCTCTGTCTTAACACTCCCATACTAGCGAGACTCAACAAGGAAAGACTGAAAATTATTCGAAAAACTGCATTAAAAAATCCTATTAATATTATACCCCAGCAAAATAATTGCAAATATATTATTAAAGAATGTGTTATATTGTTATTTAATTCATAGCCAAAGCAGAATTTTAAGTATAGAACAGTAATAAAATGAGTAGATTTTAAATTATAATTGTAAATGCTTTCAAATACATGGTTATGAATCAGTGCTCCCTGAAGTCTGTGTTGTGACTGACTCTTCATTTTTCATTATACCACATTAATATTGTAACTCCCAGTGATGTCACTACAAACCACAAACACTATACAATAATAACAAATACCTACAGTGGGTACGGAAAGTATTCAGACCCCCTTAAATTTTTCACTCTTTGTTATATTGCAGCCATTTGCTAAAATCATTTAAGTTAATTTTTTTTCCTCATTAATGTACACACAGCACCCCATATTGACACAAAAACACAGAATTGTTGACATTTTTGCAGATTTATTAAAAAAGAAAAACTGAAATATCACGTGGTCCTAAGTATTCAGACCCTTTGCTGTGACACTCATATATTTAACTCAGGTGCTGTCCATTTCTTCTGATCATCCTTGAGATGGTTCTACACCTTCATTTGAGTCCAGCTGTGTTTGATAAAGAAAAGAAGCTAAAAGTTCAAAGGACGAGGCACATTTTGCGGCATCCGCCTCCAAATTTTTAAGCTACTTTTCCCTGAGCTTTTCAGCACCAGCGTTTCGCTTTGGCCTGTCCATTTTGAGAGACCGAGAAGAAGGTGGAAGAGAGGTGAAGCGATATTTACATAGGCGGAGCAAGATCCCTTATCACTCCATCTATATAATGCTTTGTGATGGGCCGCTGCCCCTGCATGATTGGCCGGTCCTTGGAGGAAAAAATAAATCAAAATTGTACCGGCCCAAAAGTGCGTCGGCCCACCGGGAAAATGCCCGGTATGCCAGATTACCAGTCCAGCACTGTATACATCCAAACCACAGCACAAGGAGTTAAATTACTACAACACAATAAATCTTAAAGTTGGCCACCAAACATTTTCCACCCTGAACTATTAATTGGTAATAAAGCATCAGAATGTCTTCTTTTCCTCAGAGGGATGGGCGGCAGGGGGGTTGTTGAAATTCGGTTTATGATCTGCAGCATCCTGCCAGGCCTTTTTATTGGGCGCTTAAGCATGTGGGCCCTGCCCTCTCACAGTGTGCTGTGAAATGTGGTTGACCTCTCGGGGAGGGTTTCTGGCCCCCTTTAGACCTTCCCATAGGCCTGCAACCTCATCCCCAGGCAGAGGAAGTTCTTAGCGGCCTGTTAACATGCCTGACCTTTCACCTCACATGCATGGAGGGAATAAATTAGCCAGAGCAACCAGGAGCAACACATTTGTTAATGGCAGTTATTGGGGTCAATGAACGGTGTGCGTGATGGTGCTTTTCTGCACTTGTTTTGTTTGCAAATGTGCACACGAGTGGTTACATATGGGCATCTGAAGTGTATTTGTGTGGTATACTCGTATGTTTAAGCTTGAGGGTATCAGCTTCCATTTTTAAAAGCTTGTTTGTGCATGTGGGTGGCAGGCGTCTGTGTGTATACAAATGTGTATACAAATACACAAAAGCAGAACATTACATTGGAGCCATATGACGTACTGTTTTTACTGTATGCATTGTTAGGAATCTAGTGTAAGCTGCTCTGGCCTGTTATTATTTCTATTCCTCACTTTGAATAGCTGTAACTGTTTATCGCTATAAGAAAAAAAATCACAGAACCTTGACCATATAAAGGGTCTGTGGCTAGTTGCATGTTGTGTAATTATGGGATTGATGGGATGTATGGTGGCCCAACAATTATTCAAAATGTCTGCTTCACTATGCCTTTTGATTTAAATGCTTAAAAATTCACATGCAAGTCTCTTTCCTCGTGGGAAACAAATGTGCCTCAATGACCTGAAGTTTGTTATCAAGAGATCCGGTGGATCTAAGATTTTATAAATGTCATTGTTGGAAGTGATTTTTATAAGTGCAATATTAACATAGATTTGTTGAGTTTCTGTGGATCTGAAATTTAAAAAAATAAGACACTGCAGTTCCAAGGACATAAATGATTTCACAAATGGCTGTTACAAATAAATGAACAAATAAATGAATGTGAACAAATAAATCAGTAAATCCATTTAATCTTTACATATTATTTATGTGTATTATATGTAACACAATATACAGTCTGCTCTGGGTGTGTGTTCACAGTGTGTGTGTGTGTTCACTACTGTGTGTGTGCACTTGGATGGGTTAAATGCAGAGCACAAATTCCGAGTATGGGTCACCATACTTGGCCACATGTCACTTCACTTTCACTTTCACAGTTTCACTTTCAAAAGTTTGGGGTCTGTAAGATTTTTTTAAACGTTTTTGAAAGAAGTCTTTCAGGCTCACCAAAGCTTCATTTTATTTGATCAAAAATACAGTAAACATGGTAATTAGGGCTGGGTTTTGACACAAATTTCATGATTCGATTAGATTCTCATTCACAAGCTTGCGATTCGATTCGATTCAATATTGATTAATTTGGATACATGTCAGGTACAGTACATGCCAAATTTTCAAAGAACTAATGCTGTAAAATATACATGAGAGTCAGTTGGTAATACATTACTATAATATTGAAGGTTAAAATTGACTGATTTGTTAATATTACACTTAATTAAGTTTTTTTAATAATAAAGTTACAATTACATAATAATATTTCTACTTCAATTCATTTATTTTTTTATTTTTTTTTAAATATAAACATAATGGTGGCTGTCATAAAAACTTGAAGAATTTATTAAAACATAAACAAAATGCCACTCTCTACAGTTTATTTTTCTATCTAACTAATGAGTTTATGGTCACCAAATATGTTTTTTCTGAGGTAAATGTGACGTTACGTGACATTTTTTACAAGACGTTACATTGACATCTTTGCGCGGCTGAAACACTGATTGAGCGATTACATGACAGGATTGTAAAGTTGTACTCTTTCTTTTAACTTACCGTCGGATGTTTAGTTATGTTTATTTTGTGCTGAAACTGGTATTAATGTGGAGGAGATGATCAGTTCACGTGCGCCTCGCGCTGTTGAACTGAGGCGCTACAGCGATCTGTCACTCCACATTTAACAGCGCCAAAATGACATTTATTGTTTAAATACTGCTATACAATGGACAGAATTTGAAATCTGATACTTTGTTTCATATTAAAAGTACCAAGGCACAATGCGTATTGCGATATATTGGATGGGAAGTGCCCTTTAATGTTCCATCCATTAACTGAAAACAGGCTAGATTAATCGAGTCTTGGGATTTAAGAATCTATATCGTTCTGTAAAAATGAGAATCGATTAATATCGAGATATCAATATTTTTTACCCAGCCCTAATGGTAATATTGTGAAATGTTATTGTGATTTAAAATAACTGTTTTCTATTAAAACATATTTTAAAATGTAATTTATTTCTGTGATGCAAAGCTGAATTTTCAGAAGCCATTACTCCAGTCTTCAGTGTCACATGATCCTTTAGATATCATTGCAATATGATGATTTGGTCATGCTGCTTAATATTTTTGTGGAAACCATGATACTTTTTTTTCAGGATTCTTTGATGAACAGAAATTTCAAAAGAACAGTATTTATTTGAAATAGAAATCTTTCGTAACATTGTAAATGTGCATTCTTGCAGAATAAATCAAGTGTAGCGTTAGTTCTAGCAGATCACGTGAGTCAAGCTTGCATATATAGGAATACAACGCCTTTCACGGCATTCGTATATAAGGTGTATTCAGTATTATTCAGCAGCTTTATTGCTTACTCATGAGCAAATTACCCTCCTACGTCCCCAGCTCCACCTTTCATCACTTGGCTTTCTGATATTCCTTGTTTTCCCGAATCAGACTCCCTTTATCTTGAATAATGTTGTTACACTAATATGTTATTAAGAACATGATATCTGCTACATTTGGTTCTGTTCTGTTTACCCTAAGGGGTTATCAGTGCTCTCCCTGCTCATTCATGCTAGGCTGCATGGATGGCAAGGAGTTTTTACCCCGAACATAATCATACCGCGAATCCAAACTTTATGCTAAGTGTCAATCATTTTGATGATAGTGGTCCTGACAAAAAAGTATTCTTTTTTTTCAGAAACAGAAAGTTTTTTGATCCCAAACTTTTAAATGGATTTGTATGTTTTTTGTTTGTTTCTTTGAGTAAAAAGCTACATGAAT